TCCATTTATTGAAAGTAGAGGATTATTATCCTTTGTTTGCTACACTAATTTCTTTTTTTCTCTCTCTCTTTTTTTTTTAAGAGACAGGATCTCACTGTGTTGCCCAGGCTGGGCTTGAATTCCTGACCTCAAGCCATCCTCCCAGCTTGGCCTCCCAAAGTGCTGAGATTACAGGCATGAGCCACCACACTCAGCCCCTTACACTAACTTCTAATGAAAGATCCCTCTGTTTACAAGAAGCACCATGTGTCAGCCACTGGTCTGTGGAGATGAGAGCTGTGGCCTCAATTCCCGAGTGTTTACATCATTTGGGAAGTGAAGTAGACTGTCAACTCTATAATAAGCTTAGGAAAAGGTGACTATTATTAGGAAAGCTCTGTGGCCAGAGGCATTTTTAAAAAAAATAATTCCTAGAAACATAAAGAACAAAGGAGGGAAAAAATGAAATAAAAAAGAAGGTTCCAGTCTGGCATGGAAGGCCCTTGGAAGTAACTACTCTGCCTTAGCAACAAATAGAAATCTGAACAAACTAAAAAGTCAGCAATTCTTCTTAAATCTGTTGGAGAAGAGGGGTTACTGTACAAACTACTGCCTTCAAAATTAGAAAGTCTAGGGCATAAAAGATTAAGACCCAGTCATTGGACTATAGAATATTTCCCCTCCCCACATTCCTTACCACCACACCACTAAAGGCCTATTTACCAAAAGTCTTTCTCTTTCCTTTTTCTTGAAACAGGGTCTCACTCTGACTCCCAGGCTGGAGTGCAGTGGCACAGTCCCAGCCACTTGGGAGGCTGAGGTAGGAGAATTGCATGAGCTTGGGATGTTGAGGGGGCAGTAAGCCATACCCATGTCACTGCACTCCAGCTTCGGGAACATAGTGAGACCCTGTCTCAAGAAAAAATAAGAGAGAGAGAGAGAGAGAGAGAGAGAGAGAGAGAGAGAGAGAGTTTTGCCATGTTTCCCAGGCTGGTCTCGAGCTCCTGAGCTCAAGGGATCCACCTGCCTTGGCCTCCTAAAGTGCTGGCATCCCAGGTGTAAGCCACTTAAGATTTTTTTCATCTCTACAAAATACTGAGATTTCAACCAAAAAAGCACAAAGCATACTAAAGGTCAAAAAAACACAGTTTGAAGAGACTGAATGAGCATGAGAATCAGAGTCAGGGCACAAATGTTGGAATTATCACACCAGGAATTTAAAACTATGATTAATATGCTAAGGCCGCTAATGGAAAAAGTAGACAATATATAAGAACAGGTAGATAATGTAAGTTAGGAGATGAAAAGTTTAAGAAATAATCACGAAAAAGTGCTAGAGATCAAAAAAACTGTAAAAAAATAAAGAATGCATTTTTGGGAGGCGGAGGCAGGTGGATCACGAGGTCAAGAGATCAAGACCGTCCTGGTCAACATGGTGAAAACCCGTCTCTACTAAAAATACAAAAAAATTAGCTGGGCATGGTGGTGCGTGCCTGTAATCCCAGCTACTCGGGAGGCTGAGGCAGGAGAATTGCCTGAACCCAGTAGGCGGAGGTTGCGGTGAGCCGAGATCGTGCCATTGCACTCCAGCCTGGGTAACAAGAGTGAAACTCCGTCTCAAAAAAAAAAAAAAGAATGCCTTTGATGGGCTCGTTAGTAGACTGGACACAGCTAAGGAATGAATCTCTGAACTTGAGGATATAAAAATAAAAAACTTCCAGGACTGAAAAAGATCAAAAAGACTAAAACAAATAAACAATAACAAAATAGAACAGAATACCCAAAAACTGTGGGACAATTACAACAGGTATAACATACATATAAGCCAGAAGAAGAAACAGAGAAAGGAAGAGAAGCAATATTTGAAGCTAAAGTACTAATATGCTCCTAAATCTGATGTCAGACACCAACCCACACATCCAGGAAGTCCAGAGAACACCAAATGGGATAAACACACACACACACACACACACACAAAACACACACACACACATACAAACTACATTTAGGCTTATCATATTCAAATGTCAGAAAATCAAAGAGAAAAATATATATATTGAAAGAAGACAGGGGCCAGGCACGGTGGCTCACACCTGTAAACTTAGGCGTTGGGAGTCCGAGGCAGGCAGATGATCACAAGGTCAGGAGATCAAGACCATCCTGGTTAATATGGTGAAACCTCATCTCTACTAAAAATACAAAATATTAGCCAGGCATGGTGGCTCGCACCTGTATTCCCAGCAAGACTTCAGGACATAAGGTTAATGTACAAAAGTCTATGACTTTCCTGCATACCAGCAATGAACAACTAAAATGTGAAATTAAAAACACATGACCAGGCACGATGGCTCATGTCTGTAATCCCAGCACTTTTGCTGGCTGAGGCAGGTGGATCACGAGGTCAGGAGATAGAGACCATCCTGGCTAACAGTGAAACCCCGTCTTTACTCTGTTTCTTTTTCTGGTTTATATGTATGTTATACCTGTTGTAATTGTCCCACAGTTCTTAGGTATTCTGTTCTATTTTTTGTTTGTTTGTTTGTTTTAGTCTTTTTGATCTTTGTTTTTCAGTCCTGGAAGTTTTTTATTTTTATATCCTCAAAAATACCAAAAAAAAATTAGCCAGGTGTGGTGGCGTGCACCTGTGAGTCCCAGCTACTCAGGAGGCTGAGGCAGGAGAATTGCTTGAACCCAGGAGGCAGAGGTTGCAGTGAGCTGAGATTGCACCTCAAGACTGCACTCCAGCCTGGGTGACAGAGTGAGACTCCATCTAAAAAAAAATGAAAGTTAGTGATGCATTTCCTCAGTGTAAATTATCTTTTACTCCTACTTCTATTTATAAATACAATAAAGTCCATACAGAAAAGAAAAGAGAGAGCTCATCAGCTTCAGCTTCATCACATTCTCTCCAGGATTCTGAGCTTGGCTGGCCTCTCCCAAAAAAATAAACTGAAGAATCAAGAAAATCTATCTCACCTAAAAACTGCTGTATCTCCCTCAACAATACAAAGGCTTCTCTTGCATGGAAGGTACAAAAGAAAGAAAATGATGAAAACTGGATTTCTGACTTTGCAAATGCAAATAAGAAGCAGTGGATGGTCTGAAGGTAATGAGTTATCCCAATTGATTGTTCACAGTCAGTTGCAGATTGAACTTGTTCTACTCTTTTCCCCCTTCTCACTATTGCACTTAACTGGAAAGAGGGAAGGGAAGGGAGGAACAGGGGAAGGGGAAGGGGAAATGGAAGGGAAAAAGGAAGGGAGAGAGGGAGGAGAAAGAAAGAGAAAGAAAGGAGGGAAGGAAAGAAAGAAAAAAAAATTTTTTAAAGAAGTAGCTGCCACTGGCCAAATAATTCTTTTTTTTTTTTTTTTTTTTTTTTTTTTAGAGACAAGGTCTCACTTTGTTGCCCAAGCTGGAGTGCAGTGGCATGATCTTGGCTCACTGCAGCCTCAACCTTCCAGTCAAGTGATCCTCCCAAGTAGTTGGGACTACAGGCATCCCCCACCACACCTGGCTAATTTTTTTTTTTTTTTTTTTTTTTTTTTTTTTTTTTTTTTTTGAGAAACAGTGTTTCATTATGTTCCCCAGGCTGGTCTTGAACTCTTGAGCTTAAGTGGCTCCCTGCCTTGGCCTCCCAAATTGCTGGGATTATAAGCATGAGCCACCATGCCTGTCCCCAAATTATTCTAAAATAGTGGTTCTTAACCCTAGCTGCACATCGCACTCGCCATGGGAGTTTTAAAAATATTGATGCCTGCATCCTACCCACAGAGAGTCTGGTTTTATTATAACTGGATGGGTCCTGGACACAATGGTTTTTAAGCCTCTCAGATGACTTTAATGTGTAGCATGGGTTAAGAACCCTGCTCTAGTTTGGCATAGAGTTCTAAGCACCCATATATTGATCCTAACCATAGTCTCCTGAATAAATGGCTGATCACTGACAAGAAAAAGATAACAGCTTGAGAGAAGCATTTAGTAAAAATCCAAGTAGGTTGATTTGTTCTCATGGTATGGCTGTAGTACAGTAACATCGGTATCTAAACCCATAGGAGATGTAAAACTGGGGCAGAGGGATTCAGTCATTATTAACACAAAGAATGGAACAAAGGAAGAAACAAGCATGTGAGCTCAACTCAGACGCTCTCCCACAAACCTTGGGGGAATTTTCTCTGTAATGGAAACAGTTGACTATTGGGAGCAGTGAGTAAGCAACTGTCATCCTTTGTTCCAGAACTGAGAAAAATCCACAGTAAATATCCGTGTCGTGTTTACAATGTCTGGGAAATGTTGATCCCACAGTGGTTTTTCAGAGAACAAAATTACAATCAATATAACATTGATTTTTGTCTTTGTAAAATTTATCACCAAATATTTGTATATGACTTTGAAATGTCAAAGGTATTAAAACAATGAAGTACATCCTCCTTTTTCAGTAAGATGGGGGCAACCCAAGCTTACAAATGATTCCTCCTCTGGACCGTTTTCCACACTGTGACAGAAGGGCTTTCTAAACTGCAGTTCTGAGTCATTCCCTTCTCTGCCCCACATCCTCCGTCAGTTCCCTCTGGCTTCCTTACAGGGCCTCCATGCCCACTCCTCAGCCTTCCCTCCCTCTGCACCCTCCTACCACCCTGTGCTCTAGCCACATGCAGCTCCTCAGACAGCACTGCTGTGTCTTGCCTCTTAGCCTTTGTCTGCGCTGCTCCCTCTACCAGGACGGCTTCTTTCATGTGCCCCAGTCTTCTCGGTTTTGGAAACACTTGTCACATTTTTCAAGATTCAGTTCAAAGTAACTTCAACTATGAACATTCCCCTTACCTAGCCATATGACCACTCCCTCCTTTGCTCACTCATTCCCACTAACATGACATCGTACACTTGATATATTTACATGTTTACCTGTCAAATTTTCCTTCTACACTCTAAGCCCTTTGATGTCAGAGACTGTATTTTATCCATTTATATGCCCAGTACTTATAAGGGTGCTTGGTATAAAGTAAGTATTCTCTAAATTTATTTTATGAATTGAATTTAACTGAATGTATTGAATGAATAATTTTATCTCTCCATAAATAATCTCCCTCTCCATCTGCCTCTCTGTCAACACAAACATACATACACACCCCAGGAGTGAATAAAGAAAAAAGCATCCAGATTGGAACAGCTCTTGTGATACTTCCATGATCGGTAGGGCTGTCTGTCTTACCATTGATGTTCTGTGCCCAGTGACTGAAGGCAGAGGTGAGGAGCTGTTTTCCCGGTGAGAAAAATCCAAGCAGGAGCTATTCTGAGAGGTAGAGCTTCCTGAGTCACTGTGCAGATGTCGCTTTTCAGACAGCAATCTGGACAGAAAGCTGCCCTTGCGACTGCCTGTGTGAGATCTGTCTATCCAGACCCCACTCTCTCTCATGCTGCCTTCACTGTCTCTGCAGTGACCATGAAGATCTGTGAGAGGCTCACCTGAGGGTTCCAGGTCCTGGGACTGCTCCCAGGTTCCTATTGCATGGGATGGACAGCTTCTAGGGGCCATAGTTGTACCTAGCCAGGACTGGGATATTGTATTCTGTAAGCCAAATGAGGAATAGTCTGATTGCTGTCCCAGGTGCTGATTTCCACCACTGCCGGCCCAGGGACAAGGGCTGTGAACATGGAGCTGTCCGCTGTGCTGATCCTTCTCAGACCAGTCTTTTTTCCCATTGGAAGGGTCTACTTCAAGTTGCCTGGGCTGTGGGATTTGCCACATGGTTTTAGACTTTGGAACATTAACTCGAATGACTTGCTGTTGATTGTTAGCTTGAAGTGGAGAGAGTCTTTCAGGCAAGGAAGAACAAATCATACACTGTTGGGCCACTGAATATTTCTTCAAATGGAATGGAGGAGGGCCTGTTTCATCCTCAATGCCCTCACTGCTGGATTTCTTATAAAGTGTTCTCATAATTTTTCTAATGCCCAGATGAAAGATTTCCAGCATATTGAGTAACAAGGAAATGGCTGCAATGCTGTGCATAAAAAGCATGAAAATTGTCTTCTCAGTGGGCCTGGATACAAAGCAATCCACTGCATTGGGGCAAGGAGGTTGAGTGCATTTGTAAAGGGGGTGCATTTGAAACCCATAAAGAATATATTGGCCTATCATGAATCCTACTTCAAGTACAGATCTGGTCAAGATGTGTAAGACATAAGTACGCAGCAGACATCCTTTCAGAGGGACTTTATGGATCCTCTTCTGCTCCTCTAACCTCCTCAGTTCCCTATCTATCCTTTGCTGCTCCTCCAAGTCAAGCTCTGGATTCTCTATCTGGGCTCTAAGGTGTGACTTTTTCCTCTGTCTCTCTTTCTCAAAGGCCCTGAGCCTGTAAAGTGCATGGCCCATATAGACCAAAGAAGGAGAAGACACGAAGATGATCTGTAAAACCCAGAACCTGATCAAAGAGATAGGGAAGGCATCATCATAACAGATATTGTTGCAACCTGGCTGCCGGGTGTTGCAGGCAAATGCTGACTGTTCGTCATCCCAGACATCCTCAGCAGCCACACGAAGTACCAGCATTCGGAAGATGAAAAGGATGGTCAGCCAGATTTTCCCCACTATGGTTGAGTGGGAGTGAACTTCCTCTAGGATGCCACCCAATAAGTTCCAATCCCCCATGGTTAAAGACTAGTGTCTGAAATATACAGAAAACAGATTAATAGTACCCATGGTTGTAGTATATAGACAGGCTCAAAAATACAAAACATTCTTTTGTATGTCTGCAAAACTATGAAGGATCTTCCAGCCCTAATATTTATAGCCTAGTCCATGCTTAAAATAAGATGTTTTCTAAGATATTAATTTTTGAAAAAACACTAAAGACCCCACCATTTCACCAAGTTTCCATCCTATCCTCTTTTACTTTCCCCCACACAGATGCCTGTCATTCTAGTATACTAATAGGCCTCCATATTTGCACAATTCATTCTAATTGCACCATTGTATTCATTTTTCTATCCATATGAGATGCTCTACTTACCATACATCTGACATGATATTAAAGGAGTCTCAATTCCTCAGGAAGTATTCCCTAACCATCTCAAGTTGTAATTTTCCCTTTCCAGAATTCTTACATTATTGTTAATACTATTCATCTGGGACTGTGCCTAAATGAGTTTTGTGATGGTTGTGGCTTCTATTCCCCTTTCTGGAAAGGTACATCCCTTGCAGATAGAAATTCTAAAGCAGGAGTCCCCAAACTACGGCCCGCGGGCCACATGCGGCCCCCTGAGGCCATTTATCCAGCCCCCCGCCGCACTTCAGGAAAGGGCACCTCTTTCACTGGTGGTCAGTGAGAGGAGCACAGTATGTGGTGGCCCTCCAACAGTCTGAGGGACAGTGAACTGGCCCCCTGTGTAAAAAGTCTAGGGATGCCTGCTCTAAAGCATGTTGCTCATAGCACACAGAAGCCTTCAATATATAATAGTGAATGGAATTGTCTTTTCACTTTAAAATTCTGTTCCTTGACCGTATCACCAAAATAACCATCAACAGGCAAAATAAAGTAAATCCTCATGATATGTTATACAGAGCTTTCACTGCAAGACAAAATATAGGTAAAGAAAATATAAATCAATCAAGTAAATCCTCAGGAACTGGCTCATATCAGGGTAGCAAAGATTAGGCAGACACAGACACAATAACACATAATTACATCTGTTAAGCCACATCTGGAACATCATGTTTTCCTGGAATTTTTGCTAACTTAGAAGAAAAGTGAATATAAACTGCTTTTCTAGCAAGCTTAGGATCTGGGAAACAATCACTTTTCTTAGAAGAAAAGTGAATATAAACTGCTTTTCTAGCAAGCTTAGGATCTGGGAAACAATCAAGGTATAGCTGACATGAACAGGTTACTTGGTTTATCCTGAAAAACTAATGTTTTTCAAGGTTCAGTGAAAAAACTTAGTAGGTTAAAGCTTTCCAAGATATGGAAGGCTTCCAGATAAGAAAGATATAGAGGAAAAATAGAAAATCATTATTAAGTTAAAATAGATAATGAGACCGGGCACGGTGACTCACACCTGTAATCCTAGCCCTTTGGGAGGCCAAGGCGGGCAGATCACTTGAGGTCAGGAATTTGAGATCAGCCTGGCCAACATGGCAAAACCCTGTCTCTATTAACAATACAAAAATTAGCCAGGTGTGGTGGTGCACATCTGTAATCTCAGCTACTCAGGAGGCTCAGGCAGGAGAATCACTTGAACCCAGAGTGGGGCAGAGATTGCAGTGAGCTGAGATCATGCCACTTCACCCGTCTGGGTGAAAGAGCAAAACTCCATCTCAGAAAACAAAAAAAAGACAATGAAACAATTATCCCCTTCCATAATTCATTTGTTCAGTAATATTTGCTAACATCTTGCTATTGGCCAGGTGGAGTGGCTCATACCTGTAATCCCAACACTTTGGGAAACTGAGGTGGATGGATCACTTGAGGTCAGGAGTTCAAGACCAACCTGGCCAACATGGTGAAACTCTGTCTCTACTAAAAATAGAAAACTTAGCTGAGCATGGTGGTGCATGCCTAAAATCCTAGCTACTCGGGAATATGAGGCAGGAGACTTGCTTGAACCCAGGAGGTGGAGGTTACAGTGAGCCAAAGCCTGGGAGACAAAGCAAGACTCTGTCTCAAAAAATAAAATAAAGTAACTCAAACGGCTATTGCCTAGGCATTGTTCTAGATGCCAGGAATTCAATAACAGGATATATTTGGTCCCCGATCTCACAGTACTTGATCACTAAGGACTCCCACTTAATCTATAAAATGAACCAAGGCTGATAATACAAAAATGAGTGTCAACCCAAAAAAAAATGAGAGAAAAAACTTGGAATCCTTAGATTTTTTTTTCCTACTCCCCCCCCCGCAAAAAAAAATTGATTCCAGATGGAACAAAATATTAATTGTAAAAAAGTAAGCCATAAAAGTATTAAAATAAATTATAAAATAATATGTTTTGTGACCTTGAAGTAGAAGGCTTTTTAAGCACATCAGTGCCAGAAATTATAATTAGAAAAAATACAGATTTGCCGGGCGCAGTGGCTCACACCTGTAACCCTAGCACTTTGGGAGGCCGAGGTGGGTGGATCACGAGGTCAAGAGATCGAGACCATCCTGGTCAACATGGTGAAACCCCGTCTCTACTAAAAATACAAAAAATTAGCTGAGCATGGTGGCATGTGCCTGCAATCCTAGCTACTCAGGAAGCTGAGGCAGGAGAATTGCCTGAACCCAGGAGGCGGAGGTTGCGGTGAGCTGAGATCGCGCCATTGCACTCCAGCCTAGGTAATAAGAGTGAAACTCCATCTAAAAAAAAAAAAAAGAAAGAAAAAATACAGATTCTTGCTGGCATGGTGACTCATTCCTGTATTCCCAGAACTTTAGGAGGTGGAGGCAGGAGGACTGCTTGAGCCCAGGAGTTGCAGACCAAGCTGAGCAATATAGTGAGGCTCCTGTCCCTACAAAAAATAAATGTAAAAAGTTGGCCAGGCACAATGGTGAGTGCCTATAGACCTAGATACTTTGGAGGCTAACGTGGGAGGATCACCTGAGCCCAGGAGTTTGAAGCTACAGTGAGTCATGATTGCACTACTGCAGTCCAGCCTGGGTGACAGAGTGAGACCCTTCCTCAAAAACAAACAACAACAACAATAACAACAACAACAACAACCAGATTCTATCAGCAAAACTGAGTGGCAAAGGTGGAGATGTCCAGAAGGCATCTGGGTCTAGAGAATAACAACAACAAAAATGGTACAAAAAGGAGATAAGCATTTGCAAATTATCACTGAATAGGTAGAAAGGATCACTCAAAGACAAAAAGAAAAAGTAAGACAAAGACAGAAGGAAATAGCATAGGAGAAAAAAGAGTCTACAGATAAATATGAGAAATGGCCAAGGAGAGAGAGGAGGAAAACCATGAGGATGGTGTCTCTGAAACCAAAGCAGAGTTTCAAGAAGGGGCATAGTTGACAAAGCCAAATACACACACACATACACACACACCACTATTTAAACAAATGTAATTTAATGGTGATATACCATGCTCAAGGATTGAAAATTGCAATATAGGTAAAGATGTCAATTCACCCCCAAATTAACTAATCCAAAGGTTCAGTGTGGAATTGTAAATCACTGAAATAAAACTCTATAAATGTACATGTATATGTATGCACGTGTCCATGAGATGTATATGTATGTGATTTTATTGAGAACGAAGAAAAAAATACAGGATACACACCAGGAATTCACATAGGTTACCTGAGGTCTACTGAATGTGATGAGAGTGGAGGGAAAGTTAAGGTGGATAAAAGAGAGGCAAAAAGGAGAAAGGAAAGGAGAAAAGAGTTCTAAGAAAGCATGACTGATTTTTCATCAAAAGTGTACATTATGTAAATTTTTACTTGTATGTACATATATAAATATAAATAAATTTTTAATAAAATTGAAAAAGTGCTAGATAATCCCAGAATTTGGAAGAAGTATTAATAAGACTTTCATAATTTACTCTATGTACTTGTAAATTGTTTGAAATTCAAAAATCAAGAATGCAGTAATTTATATCACTTGCAAATAAAAATCAGATATTAAAATTCAGGACTTATATCTCATTAACCAAAAGCAATAATAATTTACTAAATTCTATCCTGTTTTAAAGAGTTTTGGTATTTTTCCATAATTATTTTCTTTAAAAATTCTAGTTATTATTCTTTATTTTACAAACGGATTTCCTCTGCTGGTAGATAACTGGAAAAATAAATAAATAAAGGATTTCTTTAGCACTTAAAAAAAAAAAAAACCACCTATAGCTTCTATTTTCTACAGAAACCCAGAGGTGGGAAAGCTAACTCATGTCAATTTTATTCCGTTTGGCAGTGTTAAACTATATAATACTTCTTTTTGCCACTGTGCCTTTAAAATGTGGAAATTATTCTTTTTAAATAGTAAGGAAAGGAAAACTGAGCTTAACCTATATGAAAAACAGAAATACAATCTTACATATTAAAATACAAGACATTTTGTCCTTTAGACAATCAGTCCGTTTTCTAAAAATAACTATTTCTTATCACTAAATTAGTGTGGGTCTTAGAAATAGCCTTGAATTTTCTTTTATTTATCAAATACAAATTTAGCATCTCCTATGTAAAAAGCTGATGGTCCTTTTCATCATATTATTTCAGATCTTGTCTTTCTACCCCCACAAGGAGTTTCTATATATTTATCATAAACAAGAGAGTTCACATATTTACTACTTACCTTACGGGTGAACAAAAAAATCACGATTGGGTTCTCAGAACCTTAAAGTTGCACTGTGTGTGGCTCATTAGTGGAAAAATTGCTGCTGGTTGCAGATATAAAGGCTCTGATCAGGTGGCTGTGGGGCCCTAATCCAGAATGAGCACAGTTATTTTGATCGATGGAGTCTAACCTAGTCCTCCCCCACGGTTCAAAATGTCCTCTGGTGCTTTGCAATTTTCTTACACTATTTTTATTTAATTGATACCAAGCTGGGACCTCTCCTGGTGTATCATATTTGGAAATGGAAAGTGAAACAAATAAGAATTTTCCTTTTGCATTGGTGAATGCATACAGTAATTTAAGTTCCGGCACATTTCTTTCA